GATGATATATTTGAAATTTGATTATGATCTAGTTTTGAGAGACGTTTCTTCAAAAGAAAGTTTTGGAAAACACGACTTATTCCGATTTTTGACGTTTTAAAACGTCACCCGTCCCCAAAGGGTTAAAAGTTGCGATTCGTCAATTCGGCTTTAGACACTTTGTCCACACATCTCTTGAATATAAGTAATGCCGGAGCTCCAGGCTTAAGTAATCGTGTTCTTCGTGAGCTTGCTTCTGTTACTTCTTCTCCCTTAGCAAGTTTGCTAAATGAATCTTTTTCTTCTGGTATATTTCCAACGTGTTGGAAAACAGGATATGCTAATGCGCTTTTTAAGAACGGGGACGCGCACTTAATGTCAAATTATCGTCCTTTAAGACTATTGCCTGCGCTTTCGAAAGTCTGCGAGCGTCTTGTACATCATCAAGTCTATGAATATTTAACAAAGAATGATTTGCTTAGTTGTCATCAGTCAGGTTTTAGGAAGCGGGATAGTACAATTAATCAGCTGCATGAGATTATCCACTATATAAAGAAAGGAGTGGATAATAATGGTTTCGTTCAAGGTATTTTCTTAGATATAAGCAAAGCTTTTGATTAAGTTTGGCACCGTGGTTTGCTACTTAAACTGGAGGGGTATGGTATTAAGGGATCCGTGTTGCGTTGGATCGAGTCGCATCTCTCTGGAAGGCATATTGTTACTGTAGCAGTGTCATCGGAGAAGGTGGTAAATGCTGGAGTGCCTCAAGGTTCAGTCTTAGGACCACTCTTGTTTTTGATATTTATCAATGACATCTCTGATAACTTGGAGAATCTTTGCAAGCTGTATGCTGATGACACTTGTTTATTTGGTAAACATTATGGCTTCGACAGATTCTCTTAACAATGATCTGAAGCTCTTATCTGATTGGTCTGATAACTGGCTACCTTTCTTTAGTGTTAAAAAATGTCAAACTATTCTGTTTACTAAAAATCGTAGGCTTATATAGCCACCGATTGTTGTGAATAACAGTTCTTTAGTTCAAATAGATGAACATGTTCATCTTGGTATGATCCTCTCTAGAGACTTGACCTGGACCAAACACATAGACAGACATGTAGCTAAAGCAAATTCTATTCTCGGGCTGATGACACTGAGTAAATGGTTATTGAATAGACGTGCACTTGACACTATACAGCAAACGCGATGCGTGATCGTGTCGCGAACTTTTTAAGCGAATCGCGCAGTGACATGTGATAAGAGAGTGGATTTGGGACGCTTTGACCTGCTCCTAAAAACCGCAAAACCCGCTTTGCACACGTTGATTAAGCAACGTCGGAATATTGTTATCATCTGAAACCACAATCTGAAATTTTAAAATTTCCATTGTTCAAAGTGAGAAAAAATACTTACTTGTTAGTTGATCTTGGGGTAATTGAACAAAAAAAATGTTGAATGTACATCCGACTCCATAAAGCATGTTGAAGAATAATTAACGAATAATCAACATGAATGATTGTTTTTAAAACAGTTCAAACCCAAATATGAAGATGACGAATAAAATGTGTAACAAATACATTCTTGACATGATCCATTATACGTTTCAATGATATTGCCGCCTATGAAACTACTTTATCAGTCATTGTTGTTGTTAGCCTATGAAAGAAGGACTGACAAAATGTTTAGTGACTGACGAAATTGGGTATATGTTTAGAAGTGATTAGTAATACGGACGGATATATATGCATTATAAAGTCGATAGCTAACTTCATCAGTAGTCCAACACATATAATCAAATATGAATGTTTACAAAATTATGCATTCATAATATCACAAGGACGGTTAACCACGGTTATTTCAGCCGAAACCATAGCAGCAAAGCAGAAAAACCGCCGGTAAACATTCATATTTGATTATATGTGTTGGATTACGGATGAAGTTAGCTATCGACTTTATAATGCATATATCCGTCCGTATTATTTTAATAATATCACGGCAAAATATCATGGAGGTCACTTTTTTGAAAATCTTCGATACACGTAATTTGGTAAATTCTATAACTCGGCGAAATGAAGTCCAAACCAGCTGAAAATGTTTTCGTAACCCCAGTTTTGATCATACAATCCAAAAATAGAAAAAATACTATAGGTCAAAAAATTTCACTTGACAGAGTTTTGGCACTATGGTTGATGCGGTGGCAAAACGTCTCTTAATCACTTCTAAACATATACCCAATTTTGTCAGTCAGTAAACAAAACCAACCAGATGCGTTAAATCAACAACAGTTTCGATTAGTACACAGTTGATGCGACTCAAAAAATGTCGAAGTTGAAAATCTACCGAAATACAAGTCGCCAGAAAGTCTTACCCAAATACACTGGAACAAGTCGATTTCTACTACTCTTATTATAAATCCTGCTGTCCTTTCTGATTTCTTTTAAAATAGACTTTCAACTCTCTATTTTTGTGAATATTGTAATAACTCTTCTCTGATGCGTCAAAGACGTGAAATTTTTGGGAGAGGTGGACCTCGTAAAAACCTGTTAAACATTTTGAATCAAGAGCGTTAGTCATTGTTTGATTATGTTTTTTGTTATGAGAAAAATGTACTGTGAAATTCATCGTCCATATGTTATTCTAGTTCTTGTAACTACGTGGTGTAGTACATTTAGCAAATTATTTATTCACATTTATGTTGTCTTCTTTCCCTTCTCCGTCTTTCTTGTGCTACAAAAGGAAGAAGCATAATTGTAAACTATTAAAACTCAAAACTCTCTTTCTGTAATAGTATGTTCAATTTATTCTTTTTTCGGTGTTTACCAGGAACGAAGTTCGTTCAGCAGTTTCTTTTTAAGAATAATAATAATAAAGCACTAAAACACACACGTTATATGTGCTGGAGTATATTTTTCAAAAAGATTTTTATCAAATTCACTAAAAACAGGAAGCAGAGCGTGTATTTTATATATATAACAACAATCATACCGTATTCTTTTTTCTCTGATATTTATTACACAATATTTATTGCACAAATTCTCTCAACTTACATGTCTGAATCAAAACAAAGGTATCGTATATCAATAAAAATAAATATTTTAATCATCGATTCAAATATCAACAGAAGGCGAAACGTCATCTTTTTGTGTATGATCCTGTGATAAATAATATGAATAAAATAAATAATATGATACTTTTTCTACTTATAAAAAGCACAAGTGTCCTAGAGGATCAAACTTGTAATTAAGTACAATTATTATAGAAATCTTGCGAAAGAATTATAGTAAAGTCATACAGGCACACATAAATATCAGATTGGTGATTAGCATCGTAAACTGTCCGTCCACAACAAATCTCCGTTTAAGGAACAAAGTGGAATAACACGTGGGAACCTTCTCTCTAGAGTCACGACAACTAAAGATACTTCACTTAGGTATGCACCCAGCGTTTCTGCCTTATGCTAAACATTTAGACCCCGGATGTGAAAAACCACCAAATGGCGGATATGCGCCAGGCGTGACCAAGCTTTGGGGGTTTTTAGAAGATTGAGAAAATCCAACATTAGTTTCAAATGGAGGACAGAAAATTGGTTATGTGTGTCACAAAAACTTTGTGGTTTTCCGTATTCGGGACCTGAAATCTTTAGCATATGGTAGAAACACATGATGTATGCCTAACTTTATTAGAACTTAAGTACTCTGCGCGAACTTTTGTATTGGAGAGTGCTTGACATATGGTTCCATGCATTAACAGAACATTTAATAAAAGTTGGCACGCTTTAGTGAACTGATTTATATTAATTAACGAACGTAAACTCTCGTCATCATTGGTTTTTTGCAGCAGCTGTCTGTAAAATTATTGCTAACGTACGATTCTTACACAAATACTTGCAACTGTCACAGCATTCATGAACTGTTCTATCTGCATTATATGTCCTCATACACTCCCTTTGGCCCGAGTCAGACATCATTAGAGTATTAAATATATGGAGACGAAATACATTAATTCATTTGTTAGTGTCACTTGGATTTCGTAGACATAATAGGATTTTCGTGCAGTATTCTCCAAGAACGTACAGTGAGTATCGCGTTTTCTCATTCTCTACTTTTGTTCTTTTTTTTATTACACATCATTTGAATACATTTTTAAAATATAGAAAGGAAAAAACGTCATTTCCACTGTACATCCTTTAAGAATGCCCCAAAAATCCCTGAGGAAAGACTACGTGACTCTGACAGTCCTACAGCATACTTATAAAAGGTTTTTCTCAGAATTTAACAAAATCACAGAAATAAACATGTGACGAGGTAAAAACAAGGTAATCGCTTGTATGATTTTATCATTTTTAGATTGATGCGATGGTTCCTTGTACTGTTCTTCTGATTATTCTTTTATATACTTTCGAACTTCATTTAAACGGCTCACAACCACTAATATACACGTGTGATGTTACAGCTCCATGTGGTTGCTCTTCTAAACCAGTCATATTATCATCATCCTCAAGAATTATTGGTGGTGAAAATTCTCAGATTGGTAGTTGGGGATGGATTGTGTCGTTACAGTCAGATGATGAACACTTTTGTGGAGGCTCAATTATTTCACCAAGTCATATTTTAACAGCTGCACATTGCATTAACTACTTTGAAGCGTTAGGAACTGTTACAGTACATGCTGGGATACACAATAAAACAGCGGGTGGTCAAATTCGAACTATCGCAGTTGTATTGATTCATCCAGATTATAATCACTTTTCGTTGGAAAATGATATCGCCATACTTCATTTATCTGTTCCACTAGATATGACTGATCCATTAGTCACTCAGGTTTGTTTACCCAAACTTGATCTGGTCAATCTCGCCACTGAAGAATATCCCTTACCTGGGACGAAGTTGATTGAAATCGGGTGGGGTATTATGAACAAGACAAATTTATTCGAGTTTGAGTTACCAGATGAATTACAGCAAGGAATAACCTTTGCTCTGAACGTATCCGATGCTATCTGTAAGGATGCAATGGATCTTACGGGGTTCAATGCAGCAGATGCTCACACGCAGTTTTGCGCATATGCTGTAGGAGGTAGAAAAGGTAAACAGACTTTGATAATGGAGAGTTAGAACTAAGACAATTGCCATGATCACTACTGTACTCGAAAAGTGCTGAAATTTTCCCACAAGTTTCAGATCGATACTGGGTAAGGCATGGCTAATTGCATTCCATTCTATGATGTTGCATAAATGAGTTATTTTTGAATTTCTATGTTTCTAGGAGCTTGTCAAGGTAAGTAAGTGTGAAAGGCGTACGCAGAATGTGATATTGTTTATGTTCATTTAGGTGATAGCGGTGGGCCTATTATGCTGTATGATGTTTCACATCAGCGTTGGGAGGAAGTCGGTGTTGTTAGTTATGGCAATCCTGAATGTGCTCAATTGAATTATGCGACAGTTTACACACGTGTTGCATATTATCTTGATTTCATTCAATTCGGATTGAATACTACAGCAACTACCAGTACAACCACATCCCTAACAACGACATTTTCATCAACTGTCTCTACTATATCCACCACGCTGAAAGAGACCACAACGGCTATTGGAAACTGCATACAATTGAATTTAGTACTATTTACTATCAGTCTCACTAACTTCTATATGATCTATATTCCCTTGACTGAAAGTCTAGGGTCATATGAAATAAATGTCGGCGTCGGCATCGGCGTCGGCGTCCGCATGTGACGGACGTACATACACATAGTGACCAGTGAGTGTGACGGACGT